CAACTCTCATTAACAAACAGTAAAAAGGAGTGCCTTAAATCACGGTGGAGAAAAAGAGCGCGGCGGCGTCTCTTCCCGTTAAAGAGAATTAAACTGGCAGATAAATCAAGAAGGATCAGTGATGGGCGCGCTGGAAGGAAAGGGACAGGGAGGGGTGGGGGACCAGTTCGGGGTAGGCGAGAAAAAAGGAAAGAGAGAAGGCTTAAGCAGGGGCTGTTTAACGTTGTATAAATTGTTACCGGCGTGTACCGGCCGGACATCCCCGGGAAGCGCGATTCCCAGCAGAAAAATAGCTAGAGATTTTATCTGTTAATTGCCCGGCCCCTAAATCCCCATGAAATAGTGCGGCCCGTAGCCGATACCCTAGCGACATAAATAAGGCAGCTATAATTACTTTTAAATTGCCGGCTACCTACTAATCGTGAATTATCGCGATCGAAAACAATTGATCAATTTCAGATATCATCAATTTCAATTACCGCTTAACCTCATTACAGGCTGTCTCAATATCTGATCATAATTTGTTTTAATAATTCATAAACCTAACCTAATCAGTCTGCTCTTTCATCACAATTCTCGTATGATTTATTTCTTCTACCTTTAGAATGAATATTATAATTCATTTATAATATGTCCTAACCTCACTTAATCTAACCTAACCTAATCTCGACTTAACATAACCTATAATGAAATTTAGGGATTCCTGCAATTGCTGTTCGTTTGATTACTAGCGAGCTTTCTGTATTTAGTTTCGAATCGAGTTTTCCTATAATCCACTTCGTTACAGATCGACGTTCGGGCCGAATTGTTACCGAAAGTGTTTCTTAACTCGTAACGCATTCACTTTGAGTATGAAGTGCACGGGTAATTAGCAATTAATAATATCTAATGTCTTCCAGGCTGGTAAGTACCTTGTTCGAGTATCGTACCGTCGCCGCCGCGTTCGCTAATGAAATTATTATTGTGTATAATGTTACCATTACCACGGAGGCGCGGCACGTCAGAGTTCCCGATTATATTTTCCAGGAACTATGCGTTTAATTATGCTACAGAGGAATTTCAGAAAACTGTAATATACTCGAGCATGAACGATGAAAACAGGCAGACTCAATAAGGGATGTGGGAATCGTTAAAATTATTCGAATAAATTCGCCTAAATTTCGGGAGAATACTATTTTTTTATTTAAATTATCAATGGAAGGATTTTCTTAAATGGACGAGCATGAAGTCAGACATTAAGGACTTTCATTCATCTCCATACTTCTTTCCTGCCTTTCAGGATAATTAAATGTTCTCTCAATAGAGGCACAAATTCATAGGTTTTAGATTTGAGTAATGAAGGTTAGGTCAGGTTGCCATTTAAGTTCAGTGTCTCATATTTGAGGCACAAATGAAAGATGGCTACCCTTCCACGAGCCTTCTTTAACCATTTTGCCTACCAATCGATGTATAATAAACTCGACGTTTCCCATTGGTGCGTTTAATGATAAGTACAGGACGATTGGTTCTCGCTCATGTATGGCGGCGAGCTAATTCGCAAATTGCTCGCGTGTACGTCCCGCGTCGCCGTAACCGGCAAAGTGGCAGTCAATTAATCAGATTATTCGGAAAGTTTACGGTGCCCGGGACAAGTACTCGAAACTCGTTTCATTGTGCGCCTTCGAATCGCGGTGGAGACCACCGCGCGAAACTTCCTACCTAACCTACCAACCGTCTATGCGTACCCAGGCGCATCTATTGAGCAGCGTTTAACTTGGCCAATAAGCGCCGAAACGTTTTCATACAGAGCTGGATATATTCAAAACTGTTTCCAATTAAAACTTCTTTAATGATTCATCCTATACTTCCCACACCACCAAGTCTGCTTTCTGTGCCTAATTTCAAGCTAAATCTATTTTATACTCTTACAATATAATTGAACGTTTAATGGCTCGTTTACAATATTTGCGTACTACCAAAATTT